CACAGAAAGTGGACAAATCCCACAAAAGCAGGATTGTTTTCAGACGCACGGGCGGCATTGAGCTTTAATTAACCTGACATTAACCCGCACATAAATCCCGAAATTTTGGGACAATGATGAGAAGCCAGGGCAGTTAAAGCGGTCTCAAAATGGATTATTTCTGCAGTGTGTTTTGGGGCAATGATGAGAAGCCATTCTTTTCCATTGGGCGGCTCCTGCTTTGGCCCCCCAGAAAAAACAGGGCTCCCTGTGCTTAGGTCCACAAACATTGGGGTTTTTTTTGGGGGGGGGATGAGATTTTTGGGGGGAGGGAAGCCTTTCAGAGAAGGCCTCATCCCCTCCAATTCACTCCCTCAGAGAAGACCTTTTGGGGAACCTTTTGTTTGGGCCCCACAGCCTTTGCCCCTTCCTTATTCCCTCCTTCTCTTTCTCCTCAGATGTCTCCTCACCTCAGAGGAGGGCAAGGCCCCGCAAAATGTAGGCCTACACTCAATGAAAAACTGTTAAGACGTTAAAAAGAAAATAAATAGTAAAGGTCGTAAATAGTAAAGGTCTGTAGGGTCCAATAAAAGTGCCCTTCAGTGAAAGACTAATTAAAAACTAAAAAAAAAAACCTGACATAAAGGCATATATCATGCTGCTGCCCCTTTTTCTTCCTTCTCCTCAGGGCTCAAAATGGAGGGCGTTTTTGAATCCCTCCTGGGCAGAAAGAAGCCTGGGATGTAGCAGACAGAGGACATGCCCTGGACTAAAAGGAGGACCACCTATGGTCACCCTGTTCCCAGGACATGTCCTACACTTGCATCTGAGGAAGTAACTCAAGTTGCCTAGGAAAGCTCACGCTGCCAATTTCTTTCTTTCAGTGAGTCTCAAAGGTGCTACAAAATCTATTTTCATCCTCCTTGCCAAGAAGGGATTCCAAAACGTCCTCCATTTTGAGCATGACTAAGAAGAATGTTTTTTGCAGCAGCAAAAGCATGGATTTACATTTCCAGGAGTGGTATTCTGAGCGTTTTTTATGGTCGTGTCCTCCATTTGTTTCCCCCCTGGAATATCCTAAAATGTACTTGGCTATTGCTATTGCTTTGTCCTCCTCCTCCTTCGCGGGTAAGGCATCCTCCTCCTCCTCCTCCTTTGCAAAACCCAACCAGGCACTCCCTTCCTCCTCCGAAAGAAAAGGAGTTGCAGCTCCCATCATCCCCCTCCCTGCCTTCCTCCTCACCCATGGCCAGGGCAGAGCAGCAGCTCCCTGAGCAGCTCAGCGCCGTCCCAGCCTTGGCTCCCTTGGCGGCCTTCTTCCTCCTCCACCTCTCCTCATCCTCCATCTCCTCCTCCTCCTCCTCCTTCTTCTCCAGTGGACCCTCTTCTTTCCCTGGCATCCCTTCTCCTCCTCC